ACTTTAGAGTGGGCACATTAATAAATTTTAATTATTTTTTTATCAATGACTTAATTCAATGTAACTGATATTTTAGTTGTAAATTTCAATGATAGATAAAGTCTACTTTCAATCAAATGGGTGCATTGAATTATGTCATCAAATTTGATCTAAATAGCATTTTTCATTTGTTTTTTCAATTGACCATATAAGTTCATAAATTCATATTTACTATAATTATGCGTAAAAATTTATTAAACATAAAAGGTTAAAAAACGATTTGTAAGGAATGAACAAACAAAAAATACAAGTAAATTAATTAAAACTTCGTATGAGACTAATTATTATCATTTTACAATTAAATCTGATTATTGTTTATCATTTAAAAGAATTATAAATCAATGATATCAATAAATACTTTTTTTCTATATACAAAATGATAATAACAGTCTTTCATTTATTACCCTATAATTTATTACATTATGACACTCATTTCTATACAATAATAAAATAATCCTATAATTTAAAAAAATGAACGTGATATGTCTAAAAATTATTCGGACATGTCTGTGTCTAAAAATTTTAGAATAATAGTAATTGCATCTAATTCGAAATTTAATTTTATATCTTGACAAAAAAAAATTAAAATTTAATTGGTAGGAACCCAATTGTTTTGTGAACATTAGATAGATAGTAGATGTTATTAAATGTATTGACTCACTATTAGATTTAATATTAAAATGTATTAGTTCCAATAAAATTATTTAAAAATTAATTATTATTTAAGTAGTTGTCTATGTTAATCGACATCATAATAATACAATAGTAAGTTGGATATAATTAAATATGTTTAAATTTTATTTCAAAAAATATATATTTATTGTAAAAAAAATTGAGGGTGGACACAATTAAATATATCTAAATTTTATTTTAAAAAATATATATCTTAAGTAAAAAAAAAAAAATTGAGGGAGGCACGTGCCCACCTTGGTCCAAGGGTGGCTCCGCCCTTGAATTTCACTCAATTTAACTACACCTATATATTATCCATTTTGTCTAACACTAACCCAAACTCTTTCTCTTTCCTCTATTAACCGTCTCACCTCTCTTAGTTTTTTCAAAATCATTGTCATCCTCCTCATACTCTCATCTCTCTGTGTAGACTCCAACAATGAACAAACTTTCTTTAGCGACGCACGACATAATCTGGAGATCCACTGGATTTATCCACTTCGACCATCCACTCTCTTCCATCCAAATTGTATTGACAGTGATCTAACCTTCAGAAGTACTCTCACTGGTACCCATTATTGTTTATCGTTGATGATTTTTTTGGTTTGTTTTAGTAGTGTATGTTTTGACAATAGTTTATTGTTTTTAATTTTTAATGTTTGTGTGGTTTAGTTGTGGATGTATTGTCATTAATTGATTGTTGTTAAATGTTATATGTTAAAAGTGTATTGTTTATACCTTGATTTAGGTTAGTTTTATTTAATTTCTAATTTTACAATAAAACATTGCATAAAATTAAAAATATTTATAGTGAACACACATAAAGTATATAATATCTCTAAGCTTAGTACTTCTTTTTCAAAATTTGACAGTTTAACATTTGACCTCAATAACCGCATACACATTGTCACTACAACACAAAAATCAGTACCCAAATAGATAATGTCACCATTTTTGGACATGTAAGTTATTTAGTATATTAATTTTTTCAAAACATTTGGTACAATATTTCATTAAAAACTATTATATACTTACTATATAATTTTTCATCGTTTTTAGTATAAATTGATTCATACCTAGAGTACACTGTAAGTAGATCTTCTTATCACGCATCTTAGTACCGATGATTGACATTTACTTCTTACTTCTTATCAATCAATGAAATTTAAATTGTCTTTATAATCCATAAAGAAATCATCAAGTTATTATTCATACAAAAAATAAATCACTACTGTATGAAAACCTATAATTCTCAGAAAATTAAAAAAAAATTCAAAACCCAAGTTAATCAACAATCAAAAAAAAAAGTGATCAATACAAAAAAAATAAGATACCAATTGCACCAACAAAAAATTTTCAAAACCAATCTAATCGCTATGTGTTGAAATTATTCAAACATCCTATTTTTGTGTGTTAAAATTTTATAAGTAACATAGTACCTTCAAGCACGTGTAATTACTAGTATATTTATATAATAAAATAGCTTACAATTCAAATTTCAAAAGATAAATAAAATGAATTTTGTTATTCGCGATTGAGATCGCTTTAAATTTTATTTTAAAGTTAATATAATGACTAATATTAATACCCTAAATTTCATAGAAAAAATAGGGCACTAAGGGTGTGTTTGGAGTGACTTTTTAAAGGTACTTTTAAAAATTATTTTTTATAAGTACTTAAAAAAAAAATAGTATTTGAAACTGTCCTACCACTATCTCTACCACCACCACCGCCACTATCACTACCACCATCGCCACCGCTACTACTGCCACCTCCACCTCCCCCACCACCGTCACCGTCACCGCCACTATCGCTGCCACCACCACTATCACCATTGTCGTCGCTGCCACCACCACCATCGCTATTGCCGCCACCCCACCACTGCCACCACCATTGCCGCCACTACCATCACCGCCGTTGTCACCGCCACCACCGCCACCATCGTCGCCGCCATCGCCCCCACCACCCCCATCGTTGCCGCTGCCGCCACTCTTTCCGTCGCCCTCTCCACCACTACCGCCACCATAATTATTGTCACTCACCATAACCATCATCGTCTTCTACCATCACCATCACCGCCGCCACCCGACCACCGCTGCCACCACACCACCGCCACTACCATCGCCGATGTTGTCATCGTCACCACTGCTATCACCGTCGCTGTCACTGTTGCCACCGCCCTCACCTCCCCCATTGTCACCACTACCACCACAGACGTTGTCACTCACCATAACCATCACCGTCTTCTACCACCACCACTGTCGTCCATCACCTTTTACCCCCACTACAACCGATGTTTAAATTTATTTATCTCTCATATATGTTTGTGATTGATTTTGGATATGAATATAAATATATTTATTATTTACCATTTTTTATTACTCTGTGTCTTCAAGCACATGCAATAACTAGTAATTTTATATTGCAACTATTTGGTGACTATTGGTATTGCACATAGGGATGGAATCAGGATTTTTTCTTGAGGGGGCAAACAATGACATAGACAAAAATTTAATTCAATGGGACTATTGAATGATTATTGTCAATTATAAATTTTTATTTATAAAGAACCTATTATATTTAATTTTTATACAATGGCATCGAAAAAATTATTTGGAGCACAAAACTCAATAGTGGTTCATGTCATCATAAAAATTTATTTGTGATAATCTCCTCTCTCTTTTTTCCTTGTTTGTAATGTACTCTTATCTCTATAAATAAATCAAGGTCGCAAATAATAGTTTCATATGATACTATAATAAAAATGAATTATAAATAACCAATTACTTTTGATATAAACTATATTTGTATCCCTATTATTTTTCTATAAAAAAAAGTCACTCATTTTTTCTCTACATCATCAAAATAATTCAACAATTGTCTTTGTTAGTACAAACGACACTCATCCATGTGATTACATTCTAAATGATTACTAAATATTAAGTAATTGATCTTTTTGAATACACTAAGTGAAGTATTTACACATTGGGTATTTTAAAAAATTAGAGATTAACAATAAAACTTTTTAAAAATATAGGGGATAATAAAAATTTTAAAATTTGAAGGGTGGGGGGGGGGAGCATGGCTCCTCATTTCTCTGATTGCACACATGAGAAAAGTTGACAAGTTGTGAAAAGAATAATGAGAAGCATTACAATGACTACTCACCTTTTGGAAGACCGAAAGGAATAGAAATTGTTCTCTTTGGTTGTTGTTAATGAAGAAATATCTTAAAAGAACAAACTTTATTATATCTATACATTGACTTGTCTTTTTCCAGAGAGACTTCAGGAATGAAAGAGAAACGGTTGGAATAAGGTCGATGGAGAGATTGAATAAGGAAATTGATTCAGACGGTGTAAATGGATAGCAATCACTAACAGTTGCAAGCAAATTTGTGGTGTAGACAGTGGTGGTGGTTTAATTATGTCCCGAGCCCTGGTCCACATGGTTGCACACTTGGTGGATGAGCTTGACTAAGAATTAAAGACAGTGCTGATTCTGTCATTTATATGTCCCTCCGACCACTATGGCACTGTCAAGTCAACTTTCTGTTTTGTGGAAGGGAAAGCAAAAAAAAAAAGCCGATATCATCATCACCAGGACAATGGTCAAAAGGCCGTGAATGGTTTGGTTACAATACTGGACAAGATTAGACAATCCGGCGCCTAGTTTGCTTCAGTAATTTCCGATCCTAAAGCTAATCTTGTGATCCTAAATTAATTAATTTTATACCACCTGTTGATTGATTTCTACCATGATATAGATTTCTTTTTCTTTTTTTTTTCTTTCTGGGAAGTACAAGAGATGTCGTAGGGTTATTTGACTCTAGTATGAAGCTGGCTATTACTCATGTTAGAAGACCAAATTTTATAACATGATCCAAATATGACATTAAGTTATCATTAAACTAATTTAGTTCAATGCCCCCTTCATATATATCAGACCCAAAAATTCCATAACTCTCATAATCTATCATGACCCTTTGCTTTGAACCATGGTAATGGATAAACAGAACAAGGTTGCCACATTTTTCTCAAGTGTCCTTTTTTACCACGGAACACTACAATATTAATACTTATCGATCTTATGTTACAATATACAGACGTGACTTCATGAATTTGAAATAATATTACAAAAAGCGTAGATCTTAAAAACGTACGAATCGATCGTGACAAGCTGGAATCAATCTCAAGTTTTTGGATTGATCAGAACATAAACAAATAGATTTGTAACTTGGTTTGTTTGATTTGTAATTAGATCAAATTGAATCACAAACATTGATTCTTGTTTACCTTCCCTTGTCTTTAGAATCACAAGATGGTGGTGGTAGAAGCAGATGGAAACTATGTCCAACCATTTTCCGTCGAAGACATGGACATTTACACAGGAGAGAGCTACTCTGTCCTATTCACTACTGACCAAGACCCCTCCAAGAACTACTGGATTACAGTAAGTGTTAGGGGAAGGCTACCCAAGTCCCCTCAAGGTCTCACTAGATTAAACTACCACACAACCTCCGCTACCGAGCTTCCACCATCGCCACCGCCCATTTCTCCCCTATGGAATGATTATAACCACAACACAGCCTTCTCCACCAAAGTTCTTGCCCACATGGGTGAAGGTCCTAGCTCCATCAGTTATGTAGCCCACCCTAGTAGTCACCCTACTAATGGCTAGGCGGCTGGACGATTGAAACTTTGACAAAGCTTGCTGGAGCTTTAAATGTGTTCCCTTCTTTTCTTAAATTTTTTGGCCAGAAACTCTCGATAAATAGGAAGCTTAGTGAAGGCCAGAAATTTGCTCAAGATCAATGAGGAAGAAACACATAGAGAGAGAGATTCGGGAGAGATTTCATTTGTGAGAATTTTGTATAAATTCTTATATTTTATTTTCAGAGAGAAATAAAGATTCATTTTCTGTTTATACCTTGTTTATGGTGTATTTCTAGCCTTGGGTAACTAACAAAGTGGTATCAGAGCTTTAGTTGGGTCATCGAAATTTTTTTTCCAACTCATTGCTTTTGTTTGTATGGGTTCTAAATGAACTTGAAATCAAATTCTGAGCACACCATTAGATTCTCCTCGTTGAATCGAGTCGAACCCCATTGGCCTTGCATCAATCCGACGTCGGATGCTCTCTCACGATCCTAGCCGGAAGTTTGCTAGAAAGTTCACCGATCGTCGGAGTTGTTGTTGGAGTTCGCCAAACCGGTGACTGGAGGAAGGTTGAAGATGATAGAATATTCCACTCTGTCAAAAAATATTCCATCTCAGTCAAAGAATATTCCTATAGCATATTTCATCCAGAGAATATTTTGTCACTGTCAACATATTTCATCAAGTTTAACAGAATATTCCGTTAAGTTACCAAAAAAAATTTCAAGCTAGTTTTGAGTTCATTTTATCTCCGTTTTTTGTTAACCAGGACTCTTTCCCAACTATTTCAAAAGTTTCAGACGCAACGGTGTACTCTATTTTGCAAAATTCAGCCCCAAGATTTTTGATCGAGACATTTAGAACCTAAAAACTCAAAATGTCTATGGAGGATTCAACTTCTAGAGCCATGATCAAACTCACTGCCTCCAATTATATACTTTGGAGACCTCAGATGAAAGATCTTCTAAGCTGTAAAGACTTATACTATCCCTTGGAGGTAAAAGATGTAAATTCAGATTCGACAAAAGAAACGGTGTGGAAGAAACTAAACAGAAAAATCATCGGTCAAATCAGGCAATGGATTGACCAAAATATATTCTACCATGTTGTACAAGAGACTGATGCACATGTCCTTTAGAAGAAGCTGGAAGACATGTACCAGGCCAAGACTACTAGGTATAAAGCCTTTTTGATGAGGTGATTTGTGAATCTGAAGTTAAAAAGTGAAACTTTGATTGCCGTGCACACTATTGAGTTCTAGGGTTTGGTAAATCAATTATCATTGGTAGAGTTAAATCTGGGAGATGAAATATAAGCTCTCTTGCTTCTCAGTTCTCTACTAGACAGCTGAAAAACACTAGTAGTCTCTCTCAGCAATTCGGCTCTAAGAGGCAATCTTACCATCTCAACGGTTAAGGATGCTCTGTTTAATGAGGAGTCTAGGAGAAAGGATGTTGGTATTGACTAATCAAGTGTCCTTGTCACTGAGAGTAGAGGCAGACAACAAGGAGGTAGCAGAGGCAGGGAAAGAAGAAGAAATAAGAGTAGTGAAAGGTCACAAGATCCAGGGAGATCAAATGACGGAGGAAGATCTACATACAAGTGTTATCATTGTGACATACTGTCGCAAATTGCTACAAGAGCAAGGCTAAGGGAGTAATCAGCCGAAGAAACAGGACGGAGAGACGCTAGTCACTCTCTCAGAGGACGTGGCCATTCTTTCTGTTAATGAGGAGACATGCCTTCATTTTTCCAACCATAACGTTGAGTGGATGGTAGATATTGTAGCTTCATACCATGCCACTTCTCACAACGATTCTTTTTCAACATACAAAGTTGAAGACTTTGGTACGGTGAAGATGGGAAACACCAGTTCTTCCAAGATTGTGAGAATTGGTGATATTCAAATAAAAACAAATGTTGGCTGAACATTGGTATTGAAGAATGTCCAACACATGCCCGACCTTCGATTAAATCTACTTTTTGAGATAGTCCTTGATAGACAGGGCTACGATAGCCATGACACATGGATACTGCCAAGCCAGTCAGTATTCCCACTAGCTAATCATTTTAAGTTGAGCAAGAATTCATGTCCCTTATCAAAGAAGGAGATAGAAGATATGACAATGATTTCTTACTCTTCAGCAGTTGAGAGTTTAATATATGCAATGATATGTACAAGGCCAAATATTGCCCATGGTGAGCAGATTTTTTGCAATCCAGGGAAAAAACACCGGGAGGTGGTCAAGTGGATTCTTAGATATCTTAAGGGTACATCGAAGATATGCTTGTATTAAAGGGGAGTTGAACCTGTTTTGAAAGGTTATACTGATTCAGATATGACATGAGATTTTGATAGTAAAATATCTACATTAGAATTTTTTTACACTTTTGCAGAAGGAGTTGTGTCATGGCAATCAAGGTTGTAGAAGTGCATAGCTTTATCCACGACAGAGGCAGATTATATTGCTGCAGCGAAAGTTGGTAAAGAAATGTTGTGGTTAAAACGGTTTCTCCAATAACTAGGTATTAAACATAAGGAATACAAGGTGCATTGTGATTGTCAAAGTGCTCTAGATTTGAGCAAGAACTCAATGTGCCATTCTCGAGCGAAGCATATTGATATTCGTTATCATTGGATACGCGAAGTGATAGAACAACAGTTGCTGAAACTAGTAAAGATTCACACAAAGGAGAATCTAGCAAACATGTTGACAAAGTTTGTCACTCGGGAGAAGCTTGAGCTATGCAAAGACATAACCGGGATGAATGTCTGATTACATTTTTTTCTGATGGTTCTGGAGGGGGAGATTTGAAAGTTCCAGCTCCATCAGATCTGTAGCCCACCCTAGTAGCCACCCTACTGACGGCTGAAGCTTTGACAAAGCTTGTCGAAGCTTTAAATGTGTTACTTTCTTTTCTTAAATTTTTTGGCTAGAAACTCCCTATAAATTGGAAGCTTAGTGAAGGCTAGAAGTATGCTCAAGATCAGCAAGGAAGAAATAGCAAGGGAGATTCAGGAGAGATTTCAGTTGTGAGAATTTTGTATAAATTCTTGTATTTTATTTCTAGAGAGAAATAAAGATTTTGTGGCTATTTATATCTTGTTTGTTGTGTATTTCTGGTCCCGGGTAACTAACAATGGGTTCTCCCAAACCACCACCCGAATTCGACCGGAGAATTCTCCACAACACCAGAACCATATTGATGGATACATCAAATGGGCTATCAACAATGTTTCCTTAGTCTTACCCACCACTCCTTATTTAGCTTCCATCAAATGTGGACTAACCAAAGCCTTCCACCTGAAACATTGTTGATAGCGAGATACGACGTCATGAGGCTGACAGTGAATCAAAACTCAACCTATGGGAGTGAAGTTTACATGCTGAGTTTCAATAGCACAGTTGATATTATACTCTAAAATGCTAATGCGTTAGTAGTTTATGTTAGTGAGATACACCCATGGCACTTGCATGGCCATGATTTCTGGGTGTTGGGTTATGGGGAAGGAAGGTTTTCAGAGAAGGAGGTGAAGAAGTTCAACTTGAAGAATCCACCATTGAAGAACACAACTGTGATCTTTCCTTACTGGTGGACTGTTGCAGATAATCCAGGAGTGTGGGCCTTTCATTGTCATATAGAGCCTCACTTGCATATGGGTATGGGTGTGGTTTTTGCTGAAGGTGTTCATCTTGTTGGAGAGATACCTGTTGGAGCTCTTGCTTGTGGTTTGACCGGTAAGATGTTGATGACCAACAAACAACACTGATGCATTCATACCCTCCATTTATTGCATTGTGAGAGATTCTTGCATCATTTATGGAATTTATAGTCCCATGCATGCTCACAATGTTATTATTTAAATCAATGGGTGAATTGCACTTTGACCCCCTCAACTATGGTTTGGATATTACTTTTTCCCTTGAACTAAAGAATTTCTCATAATCTAGTTTCGACTACTAGAATTGGATTCATATAACTCCAAACTGCTAGAACAAAAATGTTAATTTGTTGGGATAAAGTGAAAAAAATCACATAGTTTTAAGGGTAAAATGAATTAATATTTTGTCAAATTTGTAACAAGTGTTAATCACTAGGGAAGAGTGAAATTAATAGCCATTGTTGTGGGTGCAACATAAAAAAAAAAACATAACAATTAAGCGAACAATTGTGAGAGAGGGGTCATAGTTTAAGGGGTCAAAGTATAATTTCTCCTATATCAAAATTAGTAATCAAATTAGTATTACTTTGAAAGAACGGCTAAACGTAGGAGGACTGCCATACATTTAGGGGTGATGTACAGATTATGAGCCAATTAACCTATTGTAAAATTCATTGCTCGCTCTTGCCTAGATAAACAGCCTCCCGTTGAGGAGAAAATATTTAATTCAATAATACTATCTATTTAGATCGAGTTTGTTGATCTAATTCATTATATAAATTTGATTGGAAAGAGCACTGTAATTCACTGTTAATCCAATGACAATAAGTAATTAGATGAACAAATTAGGTCCAAGTAGTACTACCGGAAAAAATCACATTGCGTGAATATCCGTATGGACCATCACAATGCTTTGTTTTAATTAAAGAGCCGGATTCATCTTTTCCGTACAAATTCTGAGTCTACAATAGTGATACTACACTGCTATTGATATATAATATCACAAACCGATAAATTTACTCTTATTATCCGACCTTAGCTGAAAGGAATTCCTCTTTGAAGACTTATAGCTACGTAGATATATATTCAAACTTGGGCTTATGACGATCATTCAACCAGCTCTATAACGCCCAAAGGCTTATGACAAAAAGAAGTCCTTTAGGCCATACTTTTTTTGTGGGTTTGGGTTGGAAATAGACACTTTTGTACGTCGTTTGGTTGGAGTCTTTGGGCCTGAGATTTGCAAACACAGGTAATGAACAGTAGTTGTAAACCCATTTGGGAGATGGGTTTCAAAGCCTTGGGATTTGGCATAGGTACGTAATACTTGTGGACAAAATTGACTCTCGAATTCATTGGATTCCATGCTTACAAAACATGGATTTGGATAGCTTTTCATCCTTTATCCAATTCATTAAGCCCACGGGTGAGGATTGGATAGGGGAAAGCAAGTCAAATCCAATTCCTATCATATGGACCCGTTCAAAAAATAATCATATAGAAAACCAAACATTATGAAAGGGCGGGACCCATTTAACTCATCCTCAAAAGTAGAGAAGTGCTGCAGCAAAACAATATTGATGTAGAGGTATATGAAGCTATGAAGGGGGTGAATTTTAATCCAAATTTGAGTCTATCCAATCGGATATGAGTTTAAACAGAAATTATTAAATGGAATGATTGGTTGATTAAATTAAGTTAAAAGTTAACTTAAATTTAATAAAATTATTAATTTTTTATAAAATTTTATTGCAGTTCAAATTTTTATATTGAATTGGGTAATCGAATCGAATATTCAATTATTAATGGATGCGAATATGAATTAAAATTTTGAAAACCGTGGAGTAAATGAATAAAATTTGAAAATCAGATGCATGAACAACCGAAACGAAGCCAAAAATTTGAACGATCAAGATCTGATCAAAATCGGATGCATGAACAAACCGAAGCGAAGCCATTGTCTTATCATCGTGTATGCATGCATAGTTATTGACGTGATTTTTGTTTCTCCTGCAAATGACACGTTTGCTCTTTGAAAGATTTTCGTATCTACATGATACAATGAGAGGCTTTTACTCATTCAAGGGAAAAAGAATAAAAGTTTTGAGTTGTTTAGGGGTTAAATTTCGTTGACTGTTTATCTCTCTAGTTTTTTTTGGAGTACTCCTCCAATGTTTTCTTTAATAATATTACGAGCACAAAAAATATGCATCAAAACTTTTATCAAATCATTTCTAGTCGTTGGATTAGTTGATCTCATCAATTTATCCAACGGTAATATTTGATTTGGTGTAAGTTTAGAGCACAAATTTGGTGCATAAAAAGATATCATTTTTCTTTTATTGATCTTATTTCAAAATGGGAGAATTTCATTTTGCACCTCAAATAATTTTAAATTTTTCACTTTGTAAATTTAAAATTTAGAATTCTCATCATATTATCCCAAATGTATTAAAAGTGTTATAATATATCTCTTCCGTTACTTATTCCGTCAAAAATTATCCATTGATGTTAATGAAATGAATAATGCAAACTAATGAAAAGATCACAATAATTTTAATACATTCATGTTATAATGTAAAAAATTTAATTTTTGATGGTATAAAATAAAAATTCTTAAATTTTTTAAGATATAAAATATAATTCGGCGTTATCAAAAAAGGAGGTTGACCAAGCTCTCACTACAAATATAAAAAAAGAAAAATACTATTTGGACCTAATTTAAAATTTAATTTGAGAATCTACCCCCAAAAAAAAAATGTTTCTTCAATTTTTTATCGTTTAAAAAAAAATTTGAGAATCTAATTCAATACAATCATTAAATTAGTAGTTAGTTTCATATAGTATTAAAACTCACAACTAATATTTTTTTTTTTTGTTTTTTTTTTTTGAGGGTGAGGGTGAGGGTGAGGGTGAGGGTGAGGGGGAGGGAGGGGAAGGGATACTTGAATTCTTGATTTCAACAAGGCAAAACTTTTATAAGACAAGAAGTACTATTGGACCAAAGACTCATTGATATCACAACTAATATAATAGTTACACTTAAATTAGATCTTTATTGCATTACTCGAAAGAAAAACAATACATTGGTGACATTTGTTTTTAGAATTAATTTGTCTAGTTGGTTTAGATATCGACAAATAAAAGTAATTTATATTTTACTTCCATGACAGATCAATCGATTATATTTCAAATTTGGATAAGAGTTTTTAAATTAGATTGAATTATTTTAATCCCTTAACTAGCTATCCATAAGAATAAATGGTAGCCCAAACTTAAATGATATTTTTGTGATTTAAAGGTGAAGGGTGACGAAAGAATATAATGCATTCAAGATTGTAGGGGAATAAATTATTATTATAAATATAACTTTATTGACCTAATAAAAATATGTTAGGACTCAACAACTTTTTAAGGCAAAATGTAAGAACTTATTCTTAATTTTCCCTTTATTCGCTAGGCATTAATGGAATCAAATATCAGAGAAAAGCATCAACATTTTCTAGAAGCTATGTGGCTTCCTTCTTTAATCTTGTGGATATGCTGGTTTTTTTATTTTTTATTTTTGGGTTTTATGGAGGAAACGTTACCCGAGTTCCCTAAAAAAGTGTATGCTAGCTACATCAACACTTAACAGAGTGACTAAAGGGTTGAGAGGGTATTGTATCTGTTAGAATAAATGGCTTATATTCAATATATGGAGAGATATACCATGTTTCAAAATAATGTGTCAATTGTCAGTGCACAACGAAGACAATTGACCAAAATAGGCCAGGGGTGTGGCCCCCGTGGAATAGAGTAGGAGAGGCGCACTTGTCTCTGAGTTTTGCTCTAATTAGGGTTATAACTTATATATATTAAATTGTAACTTTGTTGGAATAAAAAATAAGATAGTCGTTCTTTTGTGAATGTATGCAAGTTACCAAACAACGTAAAAATCTTATGTTCATCTTATTTTTCTGTTCATTTGATTGTTCATCGCGCACAAATCACAACACTATCTTTACTAGCCCTTCCCTCTATTTCTCCCCAATGTTCGCCAAACAATCTTAACACATTTGTTTCCTTCTCCCGAGGTGTGCATTTGCTTGACTTTGTTCTTTTTGATGATCAATAAAGAGTTCTCTATCAGGGTTTTGAAGGGGGTGACACTCTATTTTGCTGCCTAATGAGAGATTTTACTCCTCTTGAGAGTCTATTTGATGTAGAATCCTCTAATCTAGTTGCCTCTTTCATCCCTCAATGCTCTTCCAACTTCTACCGAACCAAGATCCCCTTTAAAGCATCCGTCTGTATTGATCTTCTGCCAAACTGCAAGTGAGAAATACCAACAAATTAGTTTTGTGGAGTTTATTTTAAACCTCTATAGTTTCCTAAGCCAATGTCTTAGCATTCTTGACAATAACTTGAGGCAGGGTAGTGTTGTTATCTATGCATTCGCTATTTCTATCTTTCCAAATGTTTAAAACGGTTGGTAGAAACATCCGAGGCCACGGGATGCCATTCCAAAAAATAGTGAGCGAGTCGAAAAAGTTAATAAGCTTTATCTAAAAGCCGATAAAGTTATTCCAAAAAATGGTAAATAAATAGGATACCCATTTTTTTTGGTAGCAAAATCAAATCATAGAATCCTGCCATGACCGACTAGCCAAAGGAAGTATTTTTACTTTAATGGGGCTTCCAGTTTCCATAACCAGTTAGAGTTGGACTCGTTAGAGAAGATTAGTCGGTCCTTCACGATAAATCCATAAAAAGACTTGTGGGGAGAATTCTTTACCATTATTTGCTGGGCCCCCAGTAGGAAGTGTCTTCTTCTGGTTTTCATCACGAGTGTTTTTTTTTCTTATATTTTCTCAATTATGAAATTGGATTGCTCTTTGGACTTCCTTCAATGTAGCATAGCAGATGAATAATTAAAGACGCTGTTACAAGAATTAGGATCTTTTAAGACAAATTTTTTATGGTGACAATATTAACCGTCACAAAAAAAAATATATATGTACCGTGACAATATACCTTGTACTAATAGGGGAATCTAAAAGTATGGGAAGGAATTAGTGGTTTGAGAATACCATAATGTCATCATAAGAAAGATGGGATACTACGTTGAAGTAGTTGTTCTTGTCCTGTCCTTGTTTTGGTCAAGTTGGTGGCCTGCACAACTGAGAGTTGCCCTCCTCTTCTCCAACGGTTCAAGGACACAGCGATATAAAAGGAAACTTTACACTCTCATCCCCAACAATTCTCCCTTTTTCTTTTTTTTTTTTCTCTAACACTTGTTTTACACATTATTCGCTAAACTCTATTAATTAAATTTATATTACACCCAAAAAAAAACAAAATTACATGTTTTTGAAAGAAAATATCCAAATGTGTAATAAAATATAAGCTTTCAAAGTATACAATTGGGACATTATGGAGTTGACAATTATAAATCAGTGTGCAGTATGAAAAACGCAATAGTGAAAGAGATATCGGACAATTAATACTATATTTAGAGATACAATATTAGAAATGTGATAATTCATGGGATAATAGAAAACAGGTACAGGGTAATTTGGCCCATCACCCACTGGATAAGTCCTATCGCATTTGTATTTAATATTCGGCTTTTGCTGGCCTCCACAGCCCATCATATGTTCTCTCTCTCTCTCTCTCTCTCTCTCTCTCTCTCTCTCTCTCTCTCTCTCTCTCTCTCCTTGGACTTATCCTCATTGTCTTTTACTCTATACTTAAGATTTGCACTGGGCCCGTGATGGAGAAAATACAACTTGTAGAAAATAAAATTTAGATTTATGATTTGAGTTTTGACCAAACTTCAATGGGATTTGCTCATGTGCCCCAAAATATCTACAGTGGCTTGTAAATAATAGGGTTTTGTCACCTCTCCAACTATCCCTCTATTAGGCAAGATTTTAGTGGTCCAATCACTTATGAGTCATAGTGCGTGTATTTAAAAATTAAACTTAAAAAATAAATTTAATAATTACAACTATTAATTTTATTGTGGGTCTTAATATTTATTGAGACTCACTATCTATTTAATAATTATGATTATCAAGTCTAATTTTTAAGTTCGTGTAACATTACTCATCACTTATTTGTCGAGGAGAAACTGATCCGAATTTTATGGATAAAAAATGCCCTAGATGATCTTGATGCTTACAGTGTTTTACAAAAACAGACAAAGAGGTGCTAAAAGAAATAAGGAAAAAAGACATGGTTGGGGTCGACTCTAGCCATAGTAATTCTTGATGTAAAAAATCGACTTTCGATAGAACACAAATATAATACAAATTGTGGTGTGATATGACTTACAAGATAGAAAATATATGTAATGTCGTCATTAGTTTAGTTGGATGTCCGCGAATATCTTAGTATTCCTAATTAGTAGAGTGAACAAAAATTACTAAACTTATAGACTTAACGTTAATTTAAAGAACCTGGTGGCATAGGTAGAAGAGTGATGATTCATCAATAACTTGAATTGAAATCTGAGACTGTGCACTGCACTGCACTGCTGATAATTTAAAAGCAACAATAATCGTACTCTTTTTCAACAACATGTTATAGAGGTGTAGTCATGTTTTAAAGATGCTAAGACTAAATTAATACCCATATTAACAAGTGTATACCCTCACCCCAACTTTGGAGATACATCATACAATTTTTAAGGTAGTTCTCGATAACAGAGACGAACTATATACACAGACATTATGATTTTAAATTTTAATAATTTTTTAAAGTCAAACTATGAGGGTGATGTATCTCTCTCGGTTTGAATGACCAATCTTTGAACAAATCAATGAAGGAATTAATCGAAAGACACGAAACTAGTTCAGACACCTTTAACCATTAAAACAAAAAAAAATGTATCATATATGACAAGAAAATAAAATAGTTAACGAGATATAGCAATAGCTAAACTCCTGCTGACCTTAACAATTGCCTAACCCTAATTTGACTTCTCGTTTTGGTGACTCACATATGGCAAAGAATGAATGGCTAGTGGTAACAGATCAGCGGTTTTATCACACCCCCGGCCCCTTCTCCGCCAGTCAACTGATCGAATTTGAATTAATTTTTGGATGATTTGAATCTGAATGTAATTATAAACGTCCGATTTAAATATTTGATGATTTTTATTTTCATAGTTTATATCAAAATTTATTAATAATTTGATTTGAATTACATAATTTACCTAGAATTTAGCAAATTGTATTTAAATTTTAATTAGTTTTTTAAAAATAATTACTTAATTTTTTCAAATATTTTTATAAAAATATATAAATATTTCAAATTGAATTATAATTAAATAGGATAGGAATATTCAAATTTAAATTCGAGAAATATAAATTAGCGGATTCAGACTCAAGTTTAAATTATGAATTAAAAATATTAATTCATATTCGACTAATTAAATTCTTTTTCTTTTGGATAATGGGGAAATTCAATGTTCTGTCCCGGACGAGTAGATGCATGTTTATGAAGCTCAGGATCATAAGTTCAAATAGAACCAAGGGCAACTTCCAAATACATGAACCGACCCCTTGATCCAACACTAGTTAAATCAGGACTTGCTTTTTAGTGAGATTCAAACCTACACAAGAGACTTAAATACAATTTATATAAAAAATTGAGTTCATCCTACAAATTCATTACTCCCTTAACATAAAAAAAATAAAACTTTCGCAATATAAGAAATACCAAATTAAAAACCCATTAATATCAATTAAATTCGGATTCAAATAAAAGTCCGATCCATTACACCCCCATAAAAAAAAAAAAATCTCAAATTAAATGCATACCCACTAGGAAGGGCAACGACAAGTGGGCAGGCCCCCCCAACCCGGCATCGTACACGCTCCCGACACTGCCCCTTTGTCTTAAATGTACATTACAACCTTTCTCTCTCCAAAAAAACGCTTATCCCCGAGAAATTTGCTGAATCCGATGGGATTAACCTGACCATTTTTTCACCATTTAAGTATCTCCCCACACCATTAAAATCTCTACCATTTATGCTTTACTTAATTGCCGACACTTTTCACCTCCCAATAATAATAGTTCACGACTCTCTCTCTCTCTCTCTGTCCCTCTGGTCCAAAGGGGTCATGTCATTCTCTTTAGATGGAGAGGAGTTGTGTAGATGAGGACGGAACTCGTGTGAGGTAAAAGTTGTTGGAAAAGAACAGTTTCTCTTCTACTTTCTTTTTCATTCATGATTCTTGTTGAATTTTTGCTTTAATTTGGTTCTTTTTGGCTACTTTTTTTGTTCTGGGTTGTGTCAGATCTAAACTTTCACAAACCCAGATGGATCTATGCGTGAAATTGGATTTTCGCCTTGTTATGCTTTATGTTTCAACATAAACGAGTTCTTTTGCATCAAGTTGTATTGGTTGCTACTATTTCTGTTCTGGGTTTGGGCCAGAGCCCGGCGAAGGGGTAAAAGGTTTTTTGGTGAGTAAGTTTGTAATATTGAATATGAAGTATCAAAAAAGTTATGTTTGTGCGTTGATTATCTCTCTCCGCAAATTCACCAAACTAGATGATGAGCTTTTGACTTTAAAACTCAGATTCACTGATCGCTTTATCTTGATCTTTCAGCTCTGGTTTTGCTTGAATTTCAGTCTGATGTTGTGGGTGACCAATTTCCTTTTGTTTACATGCTATAGTTTGGAGGGTTAGTTGGGAGTAATGTTTTGGGAAGTTTAGGATGGCTTAGATCTAGATACTAACTTTATCTGTTTACATTTTCCCCGGGAAAGTTGAAATTTTTCTTTCTGATTTTCCGGGAAAATTGGGTTTCAAAATTTTATGGAAACCCAGTTTTCTTTGTCAGATACATGGTCAGATCTGAGTTTCTTTTTGTGATGGTTGCAATCATGGATATGATTGTTTTAGTGTTCTTTGAAATTCTTTTTTCTTCTCTCGCCTTTTTTAGTTGAGCTCCATAGGCTAATTGTGATCTGCACATGTTAATATTGGGCTGATTGAATCAACTCCAACGTATTCTATTAGAAAAAGGGTGAAAGAGGAGGAAATTAATCTGTTTTGCCCTTGTTTATGACTATTGGTCTTGTTTGGATATTATTTATCTCTTGTTTGATTTGCATGAATATATGTACTAGCAGTACTCTTTTGTTGATCAGATCTATCCATTTGAGAAGAAAGAATCAGTAATTTTAACTAGGTTTTTGTTGTTCTTTTTTGCTCGTGTGTTTGCAGGTGGGATGACTCTTGAGACTTGACTAATTCTGATTGCATATATATTCTTAAAACTTGCATCAACTGGGAGGAGGATAGAGTAGTTTTTCAATTTAGAGTTTCTCAGTTAACTACCACTTGGAATTTTTGCAAATTGGGTTAATCTGAAGGATTGCTGCTTGGTATAATGATGATGTTTGATGAAATGGGATTTTGTGGTGATCTTGATTTCTTCTCGACTCCGGTAGAGAAAGGAGATGGGGCTGCGCCGCAGACTGAACCGGAGGGGACTGTGGATGATGACTATACTGATGAAGAGACTGATGTTGATGAGCTTGAGAGGAGGATGTGGAGATGCAAAATGCGACTGAAAAGACGAAAAGAATTGAATAAGGGTAAGGAAGGTGTTGATTCTGCCAAGCAACGGCAGTCTCAGGAACAGGCGAGGAGGAAGAAGATGTCGAGGGCACAAGATGGAATTTTGAAATATATGTTGAAGATGATGGAAGTTTGTAAAGCTCAAGGGTTCGTTTATGGGATTATTCCTGAGAAGGGAAAGCCTGTGAGTGGGGCATCAGACAATCTTCGCGAGTGGTGGAAGGATAAAGTGAGATTCGATCGAAATGGTCCGGCTGCCATAGCGAAATACCAAGCGGATCATTCTATTCCGGGCAACAACGAGAGCTGTAATTCGATTGGTCCTACTCCCCACACTTTACAAGAGCTTCAAGATACCACCCTTGGCTCCTTATTGTCAGCACTCATGCAGCACTGTGACCCTCCTCAGAGGAGGTTTCCATTGGAGAAAGGTGTTCCCCCTCCATGGTGGCCTAGTGGGAATGAGGAATGGTGGCCTCAGTTGGGTCTGCATAGGGATCAAGGTTCACCACCTTATAAGAAGCCTCATGATCTGAAGAAGGCCTGGAAGGTGGGGGTTCTCACTGCTGTGATCAAGCACATGTCTCCCGATATTGCGAAGATTCGCAAACTTGTAAGGCAATCTAAGTGCTTGCAAGACAAGATGACAGCCAAGGAAAGTGCCACTTGGCTTGCTATCATCAATCAGGAAGAAGCCTTGGCTCGGGAACTCTATCCCAACTGCTGCCCTCCTTTATCCATGGCTGGTGGGAGTGGATCTTTTGCCATGAACGATAGCAGTGAGTATGATGTTGAAGGGGCCGAAGACGATTCTAATTTTGATGTGCAGGAGCAAAAACCTAACAATCCCAATTTGCTGAATATTGGGATGGAGAGATTTACGGATAGGCTGCCAGTTCAACAACTATCTCATTCAATTAAGGATGAAATCATCACCAACTTAGATTTTACCAGAAAGAGGAAACCAGCCAATGAACTGAACATACTGATGGATCACAAGATCTATACATGTGAGATCCTTCAATGTCCTCATAGTGAGCTCCGCAATGGGTTTCAGGACAGGTCTTCCAGAGACAATCATCAATTGACTTGCCCATATCGAAGTGGTTGTTCAGAGTTTGGAGTGTCAAACTTCCATATTAACGAATCGAAACCGATGGTCATATCTCAACCTTTTGTTCAGGCCAAGCCAGCTGCAGCACAGATTAACTCAGTGCCTCCTTCCTTTGATCTATCAGGACTTGGAGTTCCAGAAGATGGGGAAAAGATGATCAATGAGCTTATGTCATTTTATGAAACCAATATTCAAGGAAACAAGAACTCAAATTCTGGGAACATTCCAGTTACTAAAGATCAATCTCTTCAGCAACAAAGTATTCACTTTCAACAGGACAACTATCTCCACCATCAAGGGATTACGATGGAGGGTAATATTTTTGAAGAGACTAACATTCCTGTCAATCGTCCAGTGTTTTCGCAAGAAGAACGGTTTGAACAGTGCAAGATTCTAAATCCTCCTTTCAACATCCACCCTAATGACAATTTCCACCTGATGTTCGGGACACAATTCAATGTACAATCTGTTGATTACTCTGGCGATTTACCTGGAGTTGCAAGGGATACATTGTCAAAGCCGGATGTTTCTCTTTGGTACTAAGGATAGACTGCTGATTGATTATCAAGTATTCAACCTTTAAGGTATATTGAGCTGTTCAATTCTAAGGGAGAAGATCTACTTGGTCTGCTCTGATTCGATTAAGTTTCTTCCATCTAGACGATCGTCGTTATGGTGTTTTACTTACCTTACAGTTGTAGAGTTTGAAGTGCTAGACATGGTGGTGTAATAAACAAGTGGGGAAGGTCCCCATATCTACTCTACTGTTGAAATGGTTAGCCCTGTAGATGTTATATAAATAATTTAGTTTGTATTTGGCTTTCTATAACTCTGTTCAGCCATAAGTTTAGTTTGGAATCTTATTGTGCTGTCCATTAGTGTTTGTCTCTGTTTTGGCTGTACTTTGCTGAATGGAAATTTGATTGTCTCTTCTTGCAATTTGTTGGTCATTTTTTTAAGTTGGCCCAAGGCAGTTATTGGGGAGTGCCAAGTTGACTCATATTTCATCATCAAGCATCAAGTTGTAGGTATATGTTCCCCGGCTGCCATGGTTACTTGTTTATTCATAGTAAATTGATTAAATATCTCTTATGAGTTGATGGAGAGATGCAATGAAGAAAAAAAACCCATTTTTTGATAAAAATCATCCTGAGCATGTGACTTTATACTACTATGTGGTCAACTAATATAACCCGATTATCTGTCACTGATCTTGTAATAATTCTTGTAGTTAGATCATCCTAAAGGTCATCCTTAATGTGCAAGATTCTCGCATATGGTTAAGAATTTAGGGGTGTCAAAATATAATACTACTCGTTAATACAATACGAAATTTAAAGGTTTGAGTCTTTTTTAAATCACTCGTTTAATAAATAATGAATTAAACACGACGTGATTAATAAACGATTCGGGTATGAGTGAAACAAATCAGAAGATATACACGCGATAAAACTTGTTTGTATATCAGGTATATATGGTTCATACATAACACGATTCATTAGACACGAATTAGATATGAGTGAAGTATTTTTTGATACGAATCCGCTAAAATTCGTCACGAATCCATCTTACCGGATATGATTGACAGACCTAGGATAGGCAATGGTTGTCCCAAATTTCAACTAGTCTGTAATACTACTTGCAAAGCCAGATCATTTTGAAAATTTCTTCGAGTCTACCATATAGATCGATCCTTTATTTGTGGCCGGACCCTTTTTCTCCCTTCCAAATGGGACATTATTCAGGGAAATTTGAGGAACCCAATTAAGGATATAGGTGGGTTTGCTTGACTTTGAAGCAGAAATTTAGAAAACCATTCTGACAATGGCATTGATTGGAAGGCCTTCACATGCATACAATTGACTTATTTTAATGCTTTATAGATTAAACAACTAAATGAGTTTAGTATACTACGCAAACCCCATACTTGCAGCAGAGAATAACAAGTGGTGTCTTTTGATTGATTGATTAAATCTAGAACTTGTTTGTAACCGAACTTGTCTGTCCATTGACTCTCTTTCTTCTTTCATCCATTCAGAGTTATAAAAAAAAATTAGGGTTAACTCATTTATCTGAATGAGAATGATTTTGAGAGGAATATTGGTGATCGTTGGATGAATCTATTTGAAATCATCGAATGAGATTATTGAAGTCTATCCTATTTTATTTTATAAATGTATGTATATTGTGACGGCATATGTTTATACAACTTTTTAATCCATAGGCAAATACTGCTGATTAGCACTTTAACCACGCACTTATTATCAACATTTTTCCAAACTTACATAAAAGGTTATACCCATTTTATAAAAGAGTAATGTTAGATGAATTTAAAAATTAAACTTAAAAATTAGACTTGATAATCTCAACCATTGAATAGATAGTGGGTCCCAATAAATACTGAGACCCATAGTAAAATCAATAGTTCTAATTATCAAGTATAATTTTTAAATTCATGTAACATTACACTTTATAAAATTATAGCGGAGTCTTGAAACTCGAACTTATAAGAAACTAATTTGCAAACTCGAATATGCACCCTATCGCTTCTGTGAAGGAGCCTTTCTCCAAGCATGCATCAAGGAGGATGTAATTCTCTTAGGAAATTCTTTTTCCAAATGATTTTTTCTTTATTTGGGGGGGGGGGGGGGGGGGGGATTGTTCTGCAAGTTGGCATATTCCCTCTTGTCACATGGTGAAACGATTTTAGGACACTATAATAGCAACAGCAGTTGACCCCGTGGGGAGTATTTAGATTATAATTGGAACAAGCAAAGAGAAACTGAAAATGAAAGCTGAATAGGGAGCTATTTGACTCACATAACCTAAAAGTTTTAGTTAGGGCAGAATACATAATTAATTCATGGTCTTAAAGTTGACATCTAACTACAACAAATCCCCCAATAATTCTGTTCATTATCGTTGTCATCCTCAATGTCAACGATGAAATTAGTGGCAAAATCTCAAGGGCATTTAGGGCCAACCTTATTGGTCTTCCAGTTATCATATCAAGGGCTGACTTGGTTTTTTTTTTTTAGTTCATCGGTTAGGGGTGTTCGAGACAGTTTACACGCACTTTGACTAGTCCCCTTCCTACTCTGGTCAAAGGTAGATTATCCTTCCTAAGATTAGGAAATTCATGAGGGAATCTCTCATGACCTGACACTAAGAAATTGTCAAAATTTGAATTCAGGATGTCTGAATTTACTGTTCGTCCCTATTGATTTGGTTATGACTATATATTTAGGAAACATTAGTTTACCTACTTTTCAGTTTCACATCTTCTTTATCTATAAAGTTCTCTTACTTTAGCTACAAATGTATCAATTGGAGAGATCTGAGGCCATAAATTATTTTTCGATAGGATACCAAAATATTTTTTCATTACTGTACACTTGTCGAGGAAACACTAATCTTTTGTTTGAAGCAAACATTTTGTGGCAAAAGAACATGCAGTGTTTCTTTTAAGTTGTTTTTGAGCATCTATGTGCATGCACCAGGGCACTTTGAATCACCAAATACAGCACAAACTTCCATTCATCATTGAGAACAATTGCATCCATAGAAAAATGATATAGAAAGTAGATGACCGATCCGACAAATTTATGTTGGCAGTGCTAGGGTTCAATGCACTAAGGACGGTTTACATACATTTGACTGTCCCTTTTAATTCTATCCATCCTAATCACTTATTTTTTTAACTCGTAAGTACTATACGAATTCGAAATATGTGGAATCGCCCACAAATTCGAAATATGATTGTCAAATTTTTGAGTGTCGATTATACCACGGAGTTAGTGCACTAGGGTGATGGAGACTTGTGTTTTTGGATGTGCATCTCTCTTGGTAGACTTGCCTCCCTAATTACCCAAGGGAAATGCTAATAGTAACAACCCTACTTCTATCTGACGAGTAGTGGTAGTGTATAGTTGGACAATTGATCCCGGTGAAAGAGCCCTATTATCAACGTAGAATTACTACTTATGAATTATTGTAGTGACGATGACCTGGCAATGAATTTTGTATGGCATTTGTGGCGATTGGCAAATGGTTTGTGCCTCCCAACTTTCATGAACTCCACAAACCCATTGTTAGGTGGAGAGCACGTTACTACTCTCTCTCTCTCTCTCTCTCTCTCTCTCTCTCTCTCTCTCTATGTTAATTTTGAGTGATGGCATAAAATACCAAAAAGTATGTTGTATGATTGACCTAGATGTTTAATCTGAAGTGTTCTTTGTCGAATATGCACATTTTTTCTCGTATCATCAATGAAGAATATATTTCACTTTAAAACACTCGATTAATCTTTCTAATCATAAGTGATTTTATAAAATGCTCTTAGTCCAATTTGTCCATCTCTCGAGATTTTATTTTTTCTTCATTTTTTTTCTCAAAAAAATGCTATTTTCTTTCTCAAAAAAATGCTATTTTCCGTCTTGAAAATCTAGATTTCTAAATTTAATCCCCCACAACAACTATTTGTCTATGACAAATTGCATAATTTATCTAAAGATACTGAATATAGTTCGAGCCCAAAGAAAAAAAAAAAGAAAAACAGAGGGATCTGCATTGAGAGTAGCTATATGGTATGTGGCTTAATTCAATTTTATGTACATGCTCCTTGAGGATGTTATAAGCGCAAGAAACTAAGCAAATTACCAAAATTTAAGGGTTCTAAAGTCAGGTGAGAAATTAGATCAAGCTTAAACAATTTTAAAAAAGAGAAAAAATAAATGTTAGGACAATAGTAAAATAACATTGTTGAGTATCGGAGTAACATGCAAATTCAATAATAAAGTTGAGTATCGTTTAGTTTTTCATTCGTACTCAGTGCACAAGACTCTCGTTTATAGTAAGATTTGATAAGTGTAAGTTGTATTATTCTTATCCCAATTTTGAATATATCAACTAATGGACTCAAACTCACAAAAAAACCGATTGAATAGATAAATATTTATTTATCATGCTAAATCCGACATGTCAAATTAATCAGTTGTAAGTTGTATGACACACAGCAATTAAAAGAAATTCCTTTCACCATAGACAAGAAGAAGGTGTCATAGTGCTGCTCCCATGTCATGAGAACAGATTTTTTAAATCAAATTTTTATTTTTTTATTTTAAAAGAATGTCAAAACACAACTTTGCAGGCTCTAGCCAAAGGTTGGTTCTGGTGCAATTCACAACTAGTTGCTAAGTAGTTCAACCCTTACTAATAACAAAATGGCACAATATTTTAGTCTATTTCAAAACTTGCAATGTCAGATCATGTTACTGTGGTCAAACTCTCTTTTAAGTTTTAAAAAATCTTTATAGAATTTTACTATTTGTCAACTACCGTAAAGTTCTTCCTTTTTTTTTTTCCATTTACAAGATTAGAAGAGCGTACACTTAGAACGATAACAAATGTTTATCTGTTCAAACAATACGTTACACGTTTGAAAATTGATTTTTCGCAAAAAAATGACAAAAATATCTATCACTTACTTTTCTCGGACTTGGTTATTGTGGGGGAGTTTATCTAATTCTAGAGCATCATCCAGAGACCTGTACAAAAGAATTTGTTCCCTAAACTTAATTCTTGGATTTGTCCTTAAGCACCACCATTCCTAACCATCTCCCCCACCTTGCCATTGTCTCCAGTACTCCATCCCTCAACACTGGACTTCCAAGTTCCCAACATGACTTCAATGAAAATGCAACTATAAGTCTATAACTATAATCTATTAAGATGATGCAACAGGTACCACTTCTTTGATGATCTTTGTCCATGATACTTATTTATGATAAATATAGTAATCGACAAGACTAGAGGACTTGTGACAACAAGAAGTAGTTATCAGCTTAGTGTTATTTTGTGAGATCGAGTCCAGAAATTGGACTCTTCAAAAATGAAAAAGAGCTAACTATCCGATATGTCTCTCACACTTCACTATAAACTAGTGTGTTGGTGGCCGGCCTAATGGCTCCTATAGAAAATT